TTATGACTAGATTTTGTATTTAATTTTGCATATTGAAGTGGACATGTTAAGTGCAATTTGAAAGAAGAAATATAAAATATGATAAAAAATACATTTTTGTGTTTATTTGATTCCTATTCATGACACTTAAGATGAGATAAGAAAAAGATAAGAATAACTATAGTGTCATTATAGGCGGATACAGATTTGTTTAACATTTTTGGTTGGTGGTGTGCCTCGAGATTTTTTCAATGAAAAACTGTAGCTTGGCTCAAAAAAGGTTGAAAAACACTGTGATAGGGGTTTTAAATAAAAAAAGAAAGGAAGAAAGCGCTGATAAAAAGTCGAAGGTTCATATAGCTGCTGGAATTGAGAGAAAAGATGGAAAGAAAGGAGAAGGCAGGCTGCAGAAAGGCAGTGATGGATTATTCCTGGCAGGGAAACAGGGTTTCTAGCTGGGGGAGCACTTTGTAAAATCTCCACTAGAGTTCAGTGTCTGCTGTGATGAAACACTTAGTCTGCTCACGGCTCCTTCCAGCCTTTTTTTTTTTTTACTGTACTGCAGCAGATTAGAAAAAATGGTTTATTTCTAAAATGAACTCTTTAATCCTTTAAAGCCTGATGCAAGAAGAATAGGAAGAATACTAGACACTAAATACTGAATTAACACAACTACCAGATCAACATTACTAGGGGATAAAAGTACTGAAAAGCACCGGAATACTAGACAGTAAATACTAAATTAACCCTTTAAAGCCTGATCCCAGAAAAATAGGAAGAATATTGGATTTTCTTTGGTGTGAATTCTTTCTTTGGCCCCTCAACAACACATGAAGAAAAAAAACAGAAATTATTTCGATCAAATTAGCGTGCAATAAGTCAAAAATGTATTTTGGTGTAGTCTTCTACTGGCTGTTATCAGGTATATCTGAAAGTGTACAACAAGGGTTTGAGCAAAGCTTTTACCACTGAATGATGCAAAAAGTCTCAGATCCAAAAGACTTCAGAAACCGTTTTTATCAAATATAACACATTTGGCATTATAGGGTTAATAAAACATGCAATGGTTACAGCCTGGATACATAATAATATACATATAAATATATATATATATATATATACATGTAAATCTACTCTGCATCTCCCTGAGCTGCAGGATTTAGAGGTAACCCTTTTTCAACACACCTGATTCACATCAAAGGGCCATTAGACAGTTGCAAAGCCCAACAATGTCCAGAGGAGATCTAATTATAATAATAATCAAGTGTGCAGAAGCAGGAAAATGTCTAAAACCTGCAGGACAGCGGCCCAAAGAGGACTGGATTCTGACACCCCTGGTTTAGAAGCTCTGTGGTTTTCCTGGAAGCGTGCTGCCCTCTGCAGAGAAAAAGAAATACTGCAAAATAAAAAAGCATCTCAACTCCTGCTGGGTAGAAAGCTCCTTTTTTATGGTCCTAACCTGATAATGCAACAGAAAACCTTTTTTTTTTTTTTCATGTTTGGCCACGATATACAGGACTGTCTCAGAAAATTAGAATATGGTGATAAAGTTATTTATTTTCTGTAATGCAATTTAAAAATCATGAAATGTCATACATTCTGGATTCATTACAAATCAACTGAAATATCGCAAGCCTTTTATTGTTTTAATATCGCTGATTATGGCGTACAGCTGAAGAAAACTCAAAAATCCGATATTCTAATATTTTGAGATAAGATATTTGGGTTTCTTAAGCTGTAATAGCGATAGCGATATTTCAGTTGATTTGTAATGAATCCAGAATGTATGACATTACATGATTTTTAATTGCATTACAGAAAATAAAGAACTTTATCACAATATTCTAATTTTCTGGGACAGTCCTGTATTCACCATAAGAGTCTCACAGAAACACCAGGGCCGTAGATTCCTCAGACGGGTTCCTGGTTCCCCTCCTCCTGCCGGACGTTTGGCCCCTCGGCCCCCGGTGGAACTTTTCCGGAGGCTGAGGCCCGTTTCAGGTAGCGACGGTTCTCCTCCGGGTTAGAAACGGCGCCCAGGGGAACCCTGAGGAGGGCGGGGTTCTCCGGGGAGAGGAGAAGGAAGACGAGAGTGGAGAGGCAGAAAGGCCACGTACAAGCTGGTAATCCGAACTGGGGGTGGCAAATGACACACCGAGAGACCTTTAACCCTTTAAAGCCCGATCCAAGAATAAATCAAAACAGAAAATTACTTTTTTTTGGTTTGAATTCCTTATTTGGCCTTTTAACAAAATATGTAAAAAGAAAAAACAGAAATACATTTTTAATATTACTAATTTATCACTATGCGCTAAATCAAGATTATTTTTTGTGTAGTCTTCTGCCCCCTGTTATCAGGTGTATCTGATTGTGTACAATAGGATTTTGAGCAAAGTTTTTACCATTAAATTATGCAAAAGGTTTCAGATGCAAAACATTTCAGAAACCGTATGTATCAAATATGATACATTTGGCATTACAGGGTTAAAGACCCCAGAAGGTTCCAGACTCACCACAGACATCAGTTTAGTTGTTGCTGAGGTCAGGTACGCGCAGAAAAGGGCTGAAAAGGAGCAGGAAAGGAGACGTTTACGCCAAGGATGGATATCCAACTCCCCCACATCCAAGTCGGCCATTTTGATTAGATCAACCCAAAAATTGTGAAATTAATCTTGCAAACACTGATTTAAACTCTATACATAATATTATGTTAAAATAGTGTATGTTAAATAGGTTTGGACAATAAGTCAAAACAAGTTTAACCAAAAAATATTTATTTCTCACCATTACGAAGGTTGGAGGGTGAGGGTTAGGGTCAGGCTTAGGTTTGGGGTTAGGGTTAGGTTTAAGGTCAGGTTCAGGGCTAGGGTCAGGGTTAGGGTTAGGTTTAGGGTTAGGGTCAGAGTTAGGGTTAGGGTTAGGGTTAGGTTTAGGGTCAGGGTTAGAGTTAGGGTCAGGGTCAATGTTTGGGTCAGGACTAGGTTTAGGGTTAGGTTTAGGGTCAGGGATAGGGTTAGGTTTAGGGTCAGGGTCAGGGTTAGGGTTAGGAAATCGTTTATCTTCTGATTTCGTATAGACAGTAAAGTTTCGTTTCCACCTCAGAGAGCTGCTAGTCACATGACCTAATCAAAATGGCCGACTTGGATTTAGGTGTAGGAGTCGGACATCCGACCGAGGCTTCTACAGACTCCTCCCCCAGAGGGCCAGGTTAGGGTTAGGGTCAGGGTTAGGGATAGGGATAGCGTCAGGGTTAGGGTTAGGGTTAGGGTTAAGTTTAGGGTCAGGGTTAAGGTTAGGTATAGGGTCAGGGTTAGGGTTAGGGTCAGGGTTAGGGTTAAGGCCAGAGTTAGGATCAGGGTCAGGGTTAGTACATCGTTTATCTTCCGATTTCATACAGACAGTAAAGTTTCGTTTACACCTCAGAAAGCTGCTAGTCACATGACCTAATCAAAATGGCCGACTTGGTTGTGGGAAGAGTTGGACTATCCTACTGAAGACTCACCACAGAACAGAGCGAGCCCGTGGGCCTGCCAGGTCAGGCCGTAGAACACCCCTCCGATGGCGATGCAGGACAGGGCGCTGTTGAACCCCCACAGCCCGGAGTAGAGCTCCCTCTGGGGGGCCGCCAGGGCCAGGCCTGGGGGGTGTTCCACAGGGCACAGTGTTGGAACCACTGTACGTAGGTTATCCATAGACACCAACGAGCCACAAAAGGACCCAAAAGTCCTCTAACTCAGTGTTTTCCAACCACTGTGCCCTCGGTACACTAGTGTGCCGCGAGTGATGGTCAGGTGTGCCGTAGAAAATCATCCTATTTCACCTAATTGGTCTAAAAAGATTTTTTGATAAGGAATTAATTATCTGCAAATAATGTCATTTTTGAGTGTCTGTGCTGTACAAGTGACTGGTGGCGTAATCATGTAATAATTCCTTATGACTAGATTTTGTATATAATTTTGTATATTGAAGTGGACATGTTAAGTGCAATTTGAAAGAAGAAATACAAAATATGATAAAAACACAATTTTGTTTATTTGATTCCTATTCAAGACACTTAAGATAGGATAAGAATAAAATAAGAATAACTATAGTGTTACTATAGGCGGCTACAGATTTGTTTAACATTTTTGGTTGGTGGTGTGCCTCGAGATTTTTTCAATGAAAAAATGTACCTTGGGTCAAAAAAGGTTGAAAAACACTGGGTTATCATATAAAACAGAGGATGCCTGTACTCCGTGTTCTTTTCGTATCTATCAATTTAAACCTCTTGTTATCAGAACATTATGGACTCTCAATCAGAACATTATCCCTTTAAAGATCCAAGAATAAAACAAAACAGAAAATGACTTTTTTTTTGGTTTGAATTCCTTATTTGGCCTTTTAACAAAATATGTAAAAAGAAAAATCAGAAATACATTTTTAATATTAATAATTTATTACTATGCGATAAGTCAAGATTATTTTTTGTGTAGTCTTCTGCCCCCTGTTATCAGGTGTATCTGATTGTGTGCAATAGGATTTTGAGCAAAGTTTTTACCATTATTTTATGCAAAAGGTGTCAGACGCACAACATTTCAGAAACCGTAATAATTTGGCATTACAGGGTTATGAACTTTCGTTGTGTGGGAATGAATAACCAAAGTGCTTGTGTAAGCAGATTTGAATAACCAGGTGCAGCGTCTACAGCAAAACAGCACCTGAGAGTGGAAGCGTGAGAAGGCCAAGATCCTCTGTTCTTTAAAAACCCACTGCGGCACACAAACACTAGGGGAGGGAACAGACAGAGCAAGCGTGTATGTCCGCAAGTGTAAGTTTTTCTAGCTTCTTTCTCTAAAATCTTCTCTGCTGTTTGTAAGTGACCGGAACCCATCCGTGGGTGAAACCAGTTGTCTAGAAGTCTCGGTGGGCCAATCGCGAAACAATCAGAGCAATCAGGGCTGTGAACGGTCTCCGTGAGAGCCAGGATGTCAAGTGACAATGGGTTCTCACCCATTGAGGTGCCTGACTTTACCAAGATAAGGAGCTTGGATATGATGTTGGATATAATGTAATATTAAGCTACACCCACGTGCTGCCTGTGTGATCTCATCCCTTAGAGGCTGCATGTCAATGTAACGTAGGGAACATTCCTTAATAAAAAGAGAGGAGGCAGCGGAGTGTGGTCAGAGTATGGTGGAGATTGTAAAGTCTAAAGAGTAACTTCTCTGAGTCTGTGTTCTCCTGCATTGTGTTTTTAACCCTGTAATGCCCAATGTATCATATCTGATTCATACGGTTTCTGAAATGTTTTGCGTCTGACACCTTTTGCTTAATTTAATGGTAAAAACTTTGCTCAAAATCCTATTGTACGCAATCAGATATACCTGATAACAGGGGGCAGAAGACTACACAAAAAATAATCTTGACTTATCGCATAGTAATAAATTATTAATATTAAAAACGTATTTCTGTTTTTTCTTTTTACATATTTTGTTAAAAGGCCAAATAAAGACTTCAAACCAAAAAAAAAGTAATTTTCTGTTTTGCTTTATTCTTGGATCAGGCTTTAAAGGGTTAAGTGTTAATAATGTTAATAATAACCCAAACCGAGCAATGCGGAGCAGAGCAACCTGCAGAACGCTGAGCAAAAGGCGATTTTACCGACACACACGCCGGCGGCGGAGCCCAGAACGGCGTGGAAAAAGATGGCCGGCGAGCAGAGCAGCAGGGCGAGGAGGACGAGGCCCGCCGTCCAGGGGGAGTCGCACCCGAACACCTGGCCCACGCCCACCGGCACCGACAGGAAGAGCTGAGAACAGAGCCGGAATGGGGAACGTTTGGTGTTTTATAACGACTCCATGGTGTCACGTCTGGGGGAATGTCTGGTGTCTCGTCATGTCTTGATTACCTATTGTGTACACCTGGGGTTCCCCTCCCTCATGTGTTTAAATAGTCCTCGTTTCCCATGTCCTGTGCCAGTTCGTTTTCGTCCTTCTTGTTTCGTCCCTCGTCTTTCGTCTCCCCACGTCAGGTTTGATTTTTGCCATAGCCATGTTTTGCCACAGTCTTGTTAATCTTTATTTTGTTACTTTGTCATAGTCATTGTTTTGCCACAGCCGTGTTTTTGTACCTTGTCTGGACTTCCACCTTTTTGTTACAATAAACCCTGTTTTTCCGTCATCTCCACGCCTGAGTCCTCCCTCAAAACCCACTTTCATGACAACAGCTAGCCAGCTAGGTTAGCTTTAGCTAACGTTATCATACAGCTAGCCAGCTAGGTTAGCTTTAGCTAACGTTATCATACAGATGTCACGTCTGGGGGAATGTCTGGTGTCTCGTCATGTCTTGATTACCTATTGTGTACACCTGGGGTTCCCATCCCTCATGTGATTAAATAGTCCTCGTTTCCCATGTCCTGTGCCAGTGCGTTTTCGTCTGTTGTCTTTCGTCTCCCCACGTCAGTTCAGGTTTGATTTTGTCACAGCCTTGTTTGCTTTACTGCCATAGTCATGTTTTTGTTCCATAGCCACAGTTTTCGTCATAGCCATGTTTTGTCACAGTTTTGTTAATCATGATTTGATACTTTGCCACAGTCTTGTTTACTTATTGCTTTGATACTTTGCTCATAGTTTTTCACAGCCTTGATTTGAACTTTGTCTGGACATTCACTTTTTGAACCTGTTTTGTTACAATAAACCCTTTTTCCGTCATCTCCGCGCCTGAGTCCTCCACCAAGACCCACCTCCCTGACACATGGTTGTCTTGTCATTTCCTGTTTTGTTTTGAAAGGTACATCCCCTTGTTTCAGGCCACTTGCACTCCCACCATGTGTCTTCTGGCTGAAGTCTTCAGGAGCCTCGGTTGGATATCCAACTCCTCCCACATCCAAGTCGGCCATTTTGATTAAGTCATGTGACTAGCAGCTTTCTCAGGTGGAAACGAAACTTTACTGTCTATACGAAATCGGAAGATAAACGATGTCCTCACCCTAACCCTGACCCTAAACCTAACCCTGACCCTAAACCTAACCCTGACCCTAACCCTAACCCTGACCCTAACCCTGACCCTAACCCTAACCCTAACCCTAACCCTGACCCTAAACATATCCCTAAACCTAACCCTGACCCTAACCCTATTGTGAGAAATAAATATTATTTGGTTAAACTTGTTTGGACTTATTGTACAAAACTATTTAACATACACTATTTTAACATAATATTATGGATAGAGTTTAATTCAGTGTTTGCAAGATTCATTTCACTATTTTTAAATGAATGTCTATATTGCCATGAAGCAATTAGGATTTTCTTGCCTGGGATTTTCCTATTGGTGACCTAATCAAAATGGCCGACTTGGATGTGGGGGAGTTGGATATCCATCCTTGGCTTCCTGCAGTCTGCAGCCAGACGGACTTGCATCTGTCCAGTCGTCTTCCTGATCACGAATTGTGTTCCCCTGGGGTTCCCTTCCCTCGTGTTTAAATAGTCTGAGTCTTTTCTTGTCTGGGGCCAGTGGGTTTCATCTTTTGATCCAAACTGAGCGTGAACTTTGTCCTCGATCCAAACCTTGTCTTGAACCCTTCCTTGAGTTTATGTTTGTACAGTTATAGCCTTTGGCTTCTTCGTTTTTTGAGCCTCTTAATTCGAACTTTATAGCCTTTGGCTTCTTCTTTCCAGAGTGATTATTATCTGATATTTTGTTCATAACTTTGTCTTTCCCTTGTTTTCAAGAGTGATTATTACTTTGTACTTTGCCTTTCCACTCCCAGCGAGTGCGCCTTTATTCAAATTAAAGTTTTTTGCATAAAGATCTCTGCATCTGAGTTTGGCCTTGAGTCCAATTCCTACATGAATAATTAACTAGCACTGGCTCAGGCCATGCAGCTAATTAAAAAAAACGTCCAAAAACGCTCACCTGAAGGACGTCAAACGCTCCCTCGGAGTCATTCAGGTGGACTTTGGGCCGGATGTCCACCTGGAAGTTGGAGGTTTAGCCTTTAGAAGTGTTTCCTGGGGGGGGAGGAGGTGTAGGCTCTGGCTTTACCTGTGGGAAATACGGGTGACCGGCGCCTGTGGCGGCCACATGCAGACATATCAGGATGTTGAAGGGAAGCGTGAAGACCGGGAGTTCCCATTTACTGGCCACCGAGGACAGAGCGCTGGACACCACCGGGCTGTGAACAGAATCAATCAATCAGTGTTTATTTATATAGCACTTTACAACAACCGGAGCTGACCAAAGTGGTTTACAGAATAAAAACAGATCAAACCATCGAAATATACAAAGACAAACACATTTGTGACAGAACCCAGTATACAGAGATTTTACGTGCAAAAAGCCATCCTGAGCAAATAGGTTTTAAGACTCGATGCATCAATCTGTACTTCTGACTGGGACCTGGCCGACAATAAAATCCTCTTTTGTTCCACCAAGTCTGCCTCAGTTTTTCCTGAAGCGCCTTCACTTGAGCTACGTTAACCCTATAATGCCAAATGTATCATATTTGATAAAAACGGTTTCTGAAGTCTTTTGGATCTGAGACTTTTTGCATCATTCAGTGGTAAAAGCTTTGCTCAAACCCCTGTTGTACACATTCAGATAAACCTGATAACAGCCAATAGAAGACTACACCAAAATATATTTTTGAGTTATTGCACGCTAATTTGATCAAAGTAACATCTTTTTTTTCCTTCATGTTTTTTAAGGGGCCAAAGAAAGACTTCAAACTAAAAAAATCCAATATTCTTCACATTTTTCTTGGATCAGGCTTTAAAGGGTTAAAGACGATCATCCCATAACTCACCACATCATAGACATGAAGACATTAGGCACCAGGAGCCACCAAAACCAGTCTCCTTTAGTGGAGAAAACAGCCATGAGCATCCCAACCAGGGCTCCGTTGTAGCCGCACAGGCCGGCCCAGACCGCCTCCCTGGGGAAGAAACGGGCCCAGTCGGTTTTTATTTTATCTTATTTTCTTCCCAACGCTTCGGCTCAGGTTGGGGAAAGGCTATCTTATGACGGAAAAACAAGGTTTATTGTAACAAAAAGGTGGAAGTCCAGACAAGGTACAAAAACACGGCTATGGCAAAACTATGACTATGACAAAGTAACAAAATAAAGATTAACAAGACTGTGGCAAAAACATGGCTATGACAAAGTAACAAAATAAAGATTAACAAGACTGTGGCAAAAACATGGCTATGGCAAAAATCAAACCTGACGTGGGGAGACGAAAGACGAGGGACGAGAGACGCAAGAAGACGCAAACGAACTGGCACAGGACAAGGGTAAACGAGGACTATTTAAACACATGAGGGAGGGGAACCCCAGGTGTAC